AAAAATTTACATATTTGAATATTCCTGTCTTGTAATGTTCACTATTTCTATAAAGTATTGTATGTTTGTTGTTTAATAAGATTAGTATTTTTTTTTTAAGTATTTAAACCACAAACTGCTTTTTATTCTTCACTCACAATTAATATTGCATTGTTTAAAAAATATATCAATTCTTTGATTATAAATAAATATATATTTTTTAACTAAATGTAATTTTTTTTTCTTTATTACCTTCTAACAGGACAGTTGATTATTAGTCATATTTTCATTTTGCTTTCTTAACTCTTGGAAATTACCCAATTTTTAAGAACACCAAAAATTTGAGAGAAGCAAAGAATTTGAGAAAGAGAAAAGTCAAAATACAAAACCTAATTCAGACTTTATAAATATTCAACAAATGAAAACAGACATGAATAACAACTTTTTTCTGGGTATGACATGAGCAAAAATAAATGAAAATATCAACTATTTTGCATCTTGTTAAAAATGTTCTTTTAAGTATTGTCAAATATTGAATATTTATTACTATCTGACAATTACTGATAGATATATACCAATTTTCTTAAAGAAAATAGCCAACATAAGCTGTGTATTTACATGATATTAACCTGCTCTAAAACATTAATCCTACCCAACAAATAGAAATCCTAGCCATAAAAGATAACCCTCTAAAACAACTGTACAACAGAAATTGTGCAATTATATTTTAGTGCCAGTTATAAGCAAGTAGAAAGCCCTCTTTGACAATCAGCAACTCTGTAAATTGATTGAAGGTTTGCAAAGCAATATTTTTTCTGGAGAACAAAGAATCTGAATGTAAATATGAATGGTCTAATCAATCAAAAAAATATAGCAGACATTATTGTTGGATAATATATTTTTTATCAGACTACCAAATATTATTCTAAAAGACTTGTTGGATATTATACAAGAGAAAATAATACAAAAGCATAAAATTAGTTTGGAAGCTTATATGTTACAGGTTTTAATTTCATTAATGTAACACTGAACTGCTTGTTACACACTGTGGAAGTAGAGGTAAAAAGGGTTTTTTGAAAAGTTATTTTTCTACTTCATAAATTCTGAAATTCTTCTAGCTCCATTTTATTGTGATGGAATAAATTCATTGCTGGATCATTTGCAAAACTTGATTGTAATAGTATTTACTTTGACTAATAAAATTTTATGCCAACTTATGTTTTGATGTTGATGGTTTGAAAATGAACATTTGGTGGTTTCAACCTGATGAGTTTCCATTTTCCATCATCAACTTATAGTAACCAATTAAAAAATAAAGAAAACTGCATCTGTGTGTTCATTTTAAATATTCAATATATAAAAAAGCATTTTAAAATCCAATGCAATCAGTTAAGATTTCACTATTCACTAGCTCATAAATCTAAACATCATTTGACTATCCTTGGATACATGAGCTCAACATCATTCTGATCATTGATGTAACTAATTAATAAAAGAGAATCACCATAATACAAATGACATGTCTTTCTAAAACCATTTCGACTGATATTTGGGTTTAGAAGTGGAGTTTTATTCATAACCATTTGGATTTTACTGTTGACACTTTTACTGTGCAGTGTAATGTTTTATCTGGAAACATCTGCACAATTCAATGAAAAATATTTCTTTCCTTTGAATCTGTGACTGAGAATTAAATACAGTACATGCAAAGATATCATATTCAAAATTTCTAATAAAATGAAAATCTAGATAAAAACATCACTGATAAAATTCAATGAAAATATAAATGGTAAAACTTCTATTTACAATGACATATATGAGGGATAATGTCAATGAATGAAGAAAAATTATTGTACCATTATTGTAGGCCACCTCAAAGCAAGGGATAATTTTTAACATTTCAAACAATTAATAAATTTTGTCAATGAAAAATTTCAAATAAGATATATTTGCAATATAAAAAAAAAAAAATTTAGAAACATGAAAAACAAAATACATTTAAGTATAAAAAAAAAAAAAAAACAATGAAAAAATATTTTTATTCTTCCTTTATCATGCATTATATCATGTAAGAATCTATCTCTAATAATAAATATTGAAAAGGTAATTTTTTTCCTAAAATAACCATTATATTTAAGGATAATTTAAGACTTTATGAATCAACCTAACAACTATTTCATGCATACTTTGTTGAACTAAAAAGAGAATTAAAAAAACTAAGATGCCAAAAGATGGATCCTTAGACTTTAATATTTCTATTTTTTCTATTTTAAAAGTTCTCATCACAAAATAAATTTATCAAAATATGATAAATTATGATTGTAAAATCTGTAACTTACATTAGAGGAAATTATATTTTCTAGTCTGTAAATACATTAGACATCTGAAGTGTAAATGATAATGCTGCTTCTTTTTTGTTCAATTAAGTGATTAAGGAAATAATTTGAAGTTGTTTTTTTAAAACATGAGTTGTCTTTATTCATGAGAAAGTTTTACTTATATCACCTGGCTGTTCTTAATTGCTAACTCATTTCATACTTCTCTATTCTCTGTAATGAAACTAGACATAATGGACTACAGTCAGGACATGACAGAATTTAAAATTTTTAATCTGCCTCTCTATCTCAGCTAATTCTTCTCGTATTCTCTTTGAAATATTATTTGCACCAAGATAAAACTATTTTATTTCTATTAATCCGTCTTGGTGGCTTGTTATATCAGAATATAAATGACAAATTGGTCTTCCTTTAAATTTCAGCTGTGAATTTAAATCTATTGCAGATTTGAGGTTTACATTTGAATTTACTTCAACAACACTAAAAAAATTACATGCCTTGTAGAAGAATTATTTTCTAACTTACTAACAAACAAAAACTATTAAGGTGCTTTCCTTTATTATTCATCTCCATTTGATACAAAATTTGACAGAAAGCCATTTTTAATATGGGATTTTACAAAAAAATATACCTGGATATCTCAATTTTTGCAACAAACATTAAGGTGAGACCTTGATCCTTCCTCTTTGAGATCAATGGGGAGATGATGTTTAGGGAGTGGGTCCCCAGTTCCTAGATTAGAGTTAATTTTGGTTTGCTTCAAGGCCCAAAGTCCAGGGAAGGAAGAAATAGTTTTTCAGATGAAATGTTTAGGGGAAGGCTTCAGTGCCACCTGGAGAGATAGAATTAGTAATAATAAAATGTTTTGAGGAACAATCTGAGATACAGCAACTACTCAAAACATAGTTGGTAATATAAATTTTCATTATTGATTTAGAATCTAATATGTCTGGACAACAGTCTTCAGTCAAAAACTACAAAGAAATATTAGGTGAAGAAAAAATAACTGACTATATTACATTTACCTTCTATTCATAGGGAAATAGTGTTTATCAAATCAAAAGAACATCTGATCAAGACTGAAGTATATCTTGTACTAAGTAATTTGACCAATTTCTTTCAATGTAAAACTATTAATAACTAAATTTAAACACAAAAAATATTATCACAATAAATACTGAATCAAAAATATATTGATACTAAAAATGTAAATTTCAAAGTTAATGAGTTAAAATTTCCATGTTAGCCTACAATTTTCTCTAAATATTGTGCAAGTCATTGAGCTGTGTTGCATATATCATTTTTTACTAATACAATAGACATAGAAGAAAAATAGGCCCAATACCATTGACATTTAAATAGCTTATTTGTCACTGGATTTGACAATTAAATATTGGTGGAAATGGCTAACATTAACATCCAGGAAATTATATTAAAATACTCGAAAGTGGTCAAAATATCAATGAACCAAAATTATCCTGAAAAAACTGTCATCCCTAATAAGACAACCACCTTACTGGTATGATCATCATGAAGATGGAAATTTCCTTTTCAAAGTTCAATCATGAAAACTAGAATCTAAAACAAAATTTAAATATTTATTAGTCTCACTGTTTTATAATTAAATAGTTGTGTAATATTTCTCATTTGTTAAATTCTTACAAAGAAGTCTATATAGTATTTAGAAATCGTAAATTTGAATCACTTGCAAATTTCAGAGAGAAGCTGGAAAAACTAATAAAGCAACATCCCAAATGTGAATAATGTCACAACTTAAAGTTAAAATTCATTCAAATACTAGTTTTAAAACAAATTGTGGCAGTGATATTTTTGTTATTAAACCAAAACTTCAATATTACTTTCTTTTTTTTTTTAATTGAGTTTCTCCAATCAATTCAAGGTTATAGTTCATCCAACTGCACTTTTGTTCACCCATCCACCCCAAATTAAAAAAAGCCTTAAAACCATTTCTATATGTCACAATCAACCAACTGACTTAAAATCTTTTCTTCAGACTATTATGACAATTTATAAAATGGTGACCTAATCAAACCAGTTAATCCTTATACTTAGAAAAGAACAGCTATGACAACAAATATAATTTTCCCCTGACACATTCTTTGTTATTTTGCTTTCTCTTTATGCTTTTTTCAAGATGACAACAAGCACTGACAAGAATTTCTTTTATTTACCTACTATTGTGAAATTCTGTTCTGCTAAATCCCTTGCTGCATTAGCAGAAAATTAGGTGACAATTTAATAAGTTGTCCTCTGCCAACAAATTATCAACCTGAAATTACTATTGATAAAAAATGAGATTGCTAACATTGCTTGTCCTTATCAGAAATACAAAAATGCACAACAATTCCTATAGCATCTCAGTCATTAGCTTTTAAGACAAGGACAAAAACCTGACCTCTTTTATGCTGGAAGAAATAATAACCAAGAAAATAAATATCACAATAATATGTATTGGTAAGTAATAACAGTCTTCAAAACCTGGAAGAATTATTCTAGAAGTTAAGGGAAATGTAATTGATTGAGTTATTATAGGACAAAAAATGAATGCTGTAAATAGAAGATAACGAAATGCAAGTGAACAACAGAATCCAAACAGTCAATTGTGTGTGTGTATGTGTAAAGATTTCATTAAACTAATCTGAAGTGAAGCCAGTTATGACTTACCTCAAAGTATCTTCCATATTGTAAGAGAAGCAAGTAGAAAGGACAAGGGAACTAAGAAATCAAATGAGAATGTTTAAGTAATTAGCTGAACTTGGTAGGTTCCAGAATCCAGCCAAGCAGAAGGCCAGCTAAAAAAATAACTGAAATAGAAGAAGAAAATAAAAGAAAAAATATTATGAGTAAAATGACAAAAATGGTGGAGAAAAGAAAATTCATTGGATGAAAGAAGAAAAAGAAAAAGAAAAAAAAAATGAAGAGGTGCTGAAAAGTCCTTGGCTTCACTCATTTCCCAAAATTCGGCCAAATCACTAAATAATTTTTTTTTTTGGAGGGAAGAGCTTCTTGGTGAAGCAAAGCACTTTTTAACATCCCCTTGTGTCTGTTATACTCTCAAGAATTAAACAAAGTATTATTTAAACTGAAAATTTTCCTCCAGTCCAGTGAGAATCAACTACCTCTAAAGATTTTCAGACAAACAATTTCCCATATGGAAATCTTTAGGAAAGTAAATCATTATACTGAATTTAAAGTCCCTCATAAATGCATCACTTTTTTTCCCCCGGTATACCCTTACAAGCAAAAATTTTCCTTAAAAATTCTCCATTTCACTTGTGTTACTTAAATGACTTTATTATTCATCTCCCACAAATGAATAGAAAACATTGTACTATTTACATACTGTCTTCTAGGGAAAGGTTTTGAGCGTTATAGTGTTTTATTTCCATAATTTTATATTTACAGTTTGTGGACAGTTATAAACTGGTTCATATTTTACAATAGAAACTGCCCTCAAAATGTTAGAACAAAAACTGATGTACTTCAAGGTAATTATCTCCCTTGAGTTCCGGAACGTTCCATAGTAGCAATTATTTACGCTCGAACTATTGTCCTCATATTTGTTAACACTTTTTTTCTTTTTTTTTTTTAACATAAAAAAGCAATAAAAAACAAAAACACATAAGATACTTTTCTTTCGTATAGGTTTAGAATAAACATTTTCATTACAGGAATCAAAGAAAACTTGACATCAAATAAAGGGAAGCAACCCATAATCATTGGGCCTCGAATTGATCTCGTGACTTCCTTGATTCAAAATTTAACAAGCTTTGCAAGACAAGACCAAATGAACAGAAAAGAATGCTACATCAGTTTAATTCTTTTTCAGTATGAAAAAAAAAAAAAAAAAATTAAAATTGTTCCTGATATAGGAGCGTTTTGTTTTATAATAAAACTAATATTGATTTGTGATAAATCACCAACACAAATGAACATCTGATAAATTATTAAAACAAAGTCATCACTATATTTGTTTTTATGAAACGTACTTTATATTTCTTCAGGTTTCCAAATTTAGATGCATATGTGACTATAATGAAAAAAACTTTCTTAGAGGTAAAATAAAACAGAACATTTTTAACAGTATGATTATTCATTTACATTGTCCATTTAAAAAAAAAAAAAAAAAAAAAAAAAAACAGGAATTTTTTTGTAGTGTGATATATCTATTTTCACTATTCTCCCAGGATATTTTTGTGATTTGAGTTGAATATTACAATTTTACTAATATCTCTATGGAAAATAAAATCATTGGTTTATTTACTTCACATCCCCATCAGAAGATTGTTCAAGTGCAATACATAATTGATCACTTTACAAATTCATTCTCTCAGATTACATATGGCTTATTAATAATTGAAATAGTTATCCGTTGTTATTAATGTGACTACCATACAGTTTAACAACATAAATTTCAGTTTCTCATTTAATTACATGTAGCATGATTACCTTTCATGTGAAGTGGATTGCAGGTCAGCTATAAAAGGAGTAACAAAAATAATAACCTATCTATTTACTATTTCAAAAAAAAAAAAAAAAAAAAAAAAAATTTATTATGTGTGTGTGTGAAAACTCTGAATTCAAACTTGAGGAGGGCTGTTTGGAGACTTTCTTGATTAGCAGTTGTGTGTCTGCTTCTAGACAAGCCTTTGTCACTATAATAAAATCATCTGTGTGGTCAGTCTGGCAGTTCAGATTGAACTGTTAGGCCCTCATACATTGAAACCAAAGGGAGAGTTCACTATATATATATATATATAGTGTGTGTGGTGTGTTTGAAATAAATATTTTCAACCATCAAAGTTGAAACTTGCACTTTGAACATTTAATTAAAATATTCAGAGCCAGAAAAAAATTTTCTTTGCAATATTAACATGTTGGTAATTTGTCATCAATTACTTACCAACCAACAAAAGGTAACAGTAATGACATTTCTTCATCTTTATAAAAGCAAAGAAGAAATTCAAATCCTATTTTCTAAGTAAATTTCAGATTCTACCAAAAACTATAAAATAATACCTAACATTAATTTCATGAAATCATTAATTAATCAAATTGACTTTTACTTAAAACTAATTATACTCCTCACGTTTTTGCCTTCTGATATCAGAGTAATGAACTCCTTTTATTCTGTAATTAGTCATTGTGGTATATAGGATTCTTGTTAGAAAGTTAAAAAGTTTTTAAAAATCATTTATGAGGAAAACAAATGAAAATTGTTTACATGTAATTTTTAAAATTATATATTTGAAAATATGCAAATTATCAGTATGTTTTAATCTTGACATTCATTAATTCATTAAACTGTTACACAGCAGTCACTCACAGTAATGAGAGTTTGTTTCTACTAACTAGCAATAAATGCATGGAAATTTCATTTAAAAAGTACAAACCAGACTATTTTAAAAAATACACAGGTGGTGAATCTCAATCAAATTTATATATTATAGTGATGAAACAATACCAATATTTTTACCAATTCTAATACAATTCCTGATATTGTTCTAAATTTCTGATTCTGATTCCAATACAATGATTAAAATTCATTATTTTCAGACCCTACCATTGGTTTGGGAAACTTAATGAACAAAGTACATTTATTAATAAAACATTTAGTAGAAAAATGAATATAAAATCTTAAGAAATAAAGTTAGATATCATTTTTATTTTTAAAAAATTGGGTAAGAGTTTAAAAAAACAAAAAAAAAACAATTTCTTTAAGTAAATCACTTAGATCACCTAGTTATTCATATTTTAAGTCCTAAACATTATCATCTTTTTTTTTCACCTTTCAGTTGATTTCTTTTTAGTAAGTAAATGTTGCCTCCAATACTAAATAACTGTTCCCTTTCAACAGAAGAGGGAGATGCTGATAGATATTTCCTGGCTAAAAGCGCCATGATAGCAAATTCATTTTTATTTTAATTCCACCACTGAAAAACATTATCATTTTTTTTTTTTTAATGAAATATATACAGGATGATTGAAAAGTAACACCCCATTTTATTTAATTCCTGCCAAAGGAAATGTAAATGCCTACCACCATCCTTATAATTCTTTGAATTTAGTGTTGATCAAAACTCCTTATATGGAATTTTATTTTTAATTTCTACTTAAGAATAATTGAAAATTTGAATTTTAAAATAAAATTTTATATAAGATTTAAAATTTTTTTCTAGGTTTTTAAATGCAGACACTTTATATTAAAAGGGAGCTTGGCAGAACAACATGAATTCATTGTCTTTATATTACATAATTTTGATTATAATTATTAAATTAATAATTTATAATATTAAATGGGTGAATTAAAAATGTTTAAAAAGAAAGTAAAAAATAAAAAAATTTATTTTGAACTGAAACAGACTTTAAACTAGCAAACTTTATGGAAAGTTCGAGAACTGAGTAGAAACTTGCACATTTTTTTTTACTTTTTACACAAGTAAAATAAATTTACATCATACTTAGGTATTATTATGATCTATAGAGTTTAGTTTTACCAATAGTTTAAAATCAATATTTATATCTTTTTATCATTAGTACCAAGAATGGAAAATTAAGTTTGAAACAAAAAAAAAAAAAAGTTCAAAGAGTTGTTTTTTGGAATCTGAAATTAGGTGAAAAATTCTCTGATTACAATACCCACAAAAATTTCAATATTGATTGTCCCATCACATATATATCTCTAAGCATTTTTTATGAGAAATTGACAACCTATTGAAATATAATCAAAATTCAAATCAATGCTGCCATCGGTTATATCACATTTTCTGTTTGTTTCTTTCACCCCCAAATTTAGATGAGGGCGAAAATGCTCAAATTAACAATCATCTGATAACTCAGACACTGATGGATTTGAGGACATTAAAGTTGATTCATTTTTTTTACAATTTCAAAATAATATTATTAAAGAATTGCTTTTGTTGTTCTTATTTTACTCCTTTGAAATACATTTGGCAAAATAATCCTAGTATAATATAAGTTTTAAACACAAATATTTGGATGATTAGGCTAATTGAAGAGGAGAGAAACTGTGGTTGGTGATCCAAAGATAGTAAGGTCTTCATCAGTGAAGTTTTACTGTATTTGAAACTAAAGAATAAATAAAAATAACTGAGCTCCACACAGGTTACAAGCCAAGAATATCAAAAGAATATGCAAGTATTATTAACAAAGTAAACTGCAGAAATTCTAAAGAGAAAAAAAATGGGAATATTCACTGGATATTTTACAGTAAAGAAAGTAACAAATTTGTATTATTATATTTACTTAATTCAAAGAACTATACAAAAACAGACAAACAGGAATAATTTACCTTATTACTATTGATGAGGATCCAAATGCAGAATCAGAAAATTCACCCGTTTCCGCCATGGCAAAAAACACAGAATGAGGTGGTCAATCTGAAAGGAAGAAAGTAAAAAAAAATATTAAAATAAAAAAAAAGAAAGAAAGCCTAACTTGTAAATATAAGCTGAGAATGTTTATCACTTCCCAGCAAGAGATTTTGGAAAACTATAAACTTAAAGAGAACACTATATAAAATTTCACTATCCAAAGAGAGGTATTAAAAAGTTTTAAAAATATTTATTTCTTTTAAAACATGACCTAAAAAAAACTTAGCTGTGTACTTAAAATATATATATTTTCCATTATCATAACATTAAAATCAGGAATTAATTTTTGCATTTATAAGTAATTCAAAACCCACATCAATGAAAAAAAAAATCTACAGGTAAGTATCAATTTTGTAGTGGAGTATAGAAAATCTTGACAATAAAGTAAAACAGAACATTGCTTGATTTTACACAATATTTGATTTTAAATAAATAAAAAAAAAATAAGTATTTGAAATATTGTTTTACACCAATAAAAATACTTTCCCCCAAATTTGTGAACTTCAAATCATAAATGTAATTGATTTTCTATTATTTATTCCCTCCAATTGCAGTTTTCTTTTCATCCAGATCTAGTCAATTTCTGCATATTTATTTTCATGTTGTTATTTTATGTTATTTAACTATTCAGAACACCTCATTGTCATATTTACTTCTTGTTTATTTAACCTAGGGATAGTTTATAATTTAAAAAAGAAAATTAATACAAAAGTTTCTTTCATATATATGCTATTGATGTAATAACAGCAGCATCTTTTTGGTCAATATTTCATTATTTTTTTTTTTTTTATTTATCCCACTTTGCAGTAGACAATATTATTCACTACAAAAATGTGACTTAAAATTTTATTAAGTGTCTACAGCAAGTTTATCAGAATATTAGAATGCAGAATAAAAACTATTTACAGCCCCAAAAAAGAAATTAGTGGACTAATTCACTTAATTTGAAGATGGCTTATATCAGAAAAATAAGCCAACACCACATAAGCAAGAAAGATTTTGATGCCAAATACTAACTTATGATCATGGTCAGTTAGATGTTAATGACTGATTAGTGATCGTCAACAGTGATTTCATGTTTGTATCCTGTGCTTTATGCTACTAAATTATTTTTGATCAACTTAAACTATCTAGGTAGAAATGATGTTTCTAAAGTAAGAAATAACCACACTACAAGCACTCTCTTATACTAAAGATCTATCTTTCTCTTTTTTGGCTATTTACAGTCACTTTTAAAAAATTTTCTTCCAAATTGTTTTATCCTCTTAAACATTTCAGATAATTGAAGAGAAACAACTTTTATGATGTTTATTTGTCAAGGAGTTTGGTGTATGATATCTGGAAAAGATCACTGTAACAGAGTACAGTTAACAAAATAGTCACAGATTTAGTTCAACATTTTAACCATTAAAATACTTAAAATATTTAATTCAGCATTTTGGGGTATATTTAAGTTATAGTTATTGAAAAGTGTTACTATGAACAAAAGAGAAATATTGTGAATTGGTTTATGTGGTCTAATTATTTCTGAAATAATTTAAGAAATTAGATTTTATATTCTTGTAAATTTACACCTTAAAATACTATCTGAGTATAATGGACTGAATAAATGAGAGAGATATAGTAAAAAATTAAGGTAAAAAAATTATATTGATTTTATATTATATACTAAAATTGTTATTAAAAAAAATAATGAAAGCCTTATCTTAAATGGCTTCTCCAAAAATTAGAATATGATCCAAGACAACAGAAACACCAATCAACAAAAGCAAAAATTTGGATGTGCTTTTGTTATCAAAATTGTACAAGTCTGAGGTTTCACTTCACAGATAACTATTTCAATAAAATAAAGAAACACTGAACATTAAGTAAAAGCCCTTTTCTTAAATATGAAGTGGGTGCTGAACTGACCAAGAAGAACTTCAAAGAGAAAAAAAAAAAATTGTTTTTATCAGATTTTGAGAAGAGAACTTTTGATCACCCACTCATATTAACAGACAGAAACTTTGGTATGAGAAGAATACTAAAGCAAAACAATTTATGGACCACTAGAGCATGGTAATTAAAACAAGTTTATGGTTATAATCTTGCACCAATATTAGGGCATGCTGAAAAGTTCTCAGCCCAACTAAAAAGCCCTTCCAAAAGAAATTCTGATATTTGGTCAACTTTCAGGAAGTGGGCCAGGTCAAGAAGTTTTTAGTACTTCTTTATAAAATTTGAGAAATACATTTACTATCAAGAAAAATTTTGAGTTATGGAAACTATAATGCCTAACTTTTTTTTAAAAGATGATATTTACACTCTTAAAAGATACAAGAAAGATAGAAACCAACCGAGAGAATTCAAGTTCTTGCCTTGCCTGAAAGTTTGTAAAAAAAAAAAAAAAATAAATAAAATATTGTATCTGGTTGTTATAAATATGTTAATTACAAATTGGTAAGCTGGTGAACTTAAAACAAAATGTAGAAACGGTTGGTTATAAAAATGAATGGTAGACAGGTAAATAAATAGAAGAGATATTACAGAAGACATGTGGAAATGGCAATGGAATGCACAAAGTTTAAAAGAAGCAGCTAGAAAACAGGTAGAGAAACTTCAACCAGAGATGAAGAATGCTGATTGTGAGGCATATTATTTTTGCTTGTTGAAATGATTTAGCTGTTAATAATATCAAATTACATCAATACCAGAAACAAAATAGCTTTCCATAATTATTTTGCCTTCTTATCAGAGCTCATAAAAATATGCAAGATTCATCCATTGAAATATTTTTTTTTATTATTACAATAATAGTAACTGTAACAAGGATTCTAAAAATTTAGACCAACCTTATGAAGCATTGACCTAAATTTCAGAGGCCAGTACTTAGCACTAGTAAATGTTCTGACTGTACTAATACTGTTGACCTAGATTTTCAAATCTAATCTCATACAATATTAACATTCATTAAATTTGTCTCATGTAAGGTTTTCACATCCGTAATCCAAACTGGAAAAACAAAAATTAATTTGTATAATATTTTGATTATTTTTAAATTTTCTAACTTTGAACAATCAGATTATATGCAAACTGGAGTAGGAGTAATCAGCAAAAAGAAAAGTTGATAGAAAATTAGTAACAATGATCAGCTAAAAAAACTTCTTTGTCTAGTGAAACAAATTGCAAAATATTAAAGAAGAAATTGATTGCATTTGAAAGCTTTGCTATAAGAAGAGATGTATCATGGAAAGTATCTAGTGTAAAAAAAAAAAAAATAACCTGAACAGTAAACAGAATGGGAAAGCAATTTCAACAAAACCAAACACGATTCATCTGTACAGAAGCAAAACCAACTATCGGTTGCCCAAAACAAGTCTTATTGTCAAAAAGTTAGTTAAATATTTAACAACATAAAATCAACCACATTGACAAATATTTTTATTTTATGCAAGATGTATGTGTTCTTAGCAGTAAAAGTGGCTAGAAGGTCAAATATCCACAAACAAGTTGGATTTCCAAACCAAGTAAATTAATTACTTTTCTCTTGAATCATAATAATCCACTTGTTGCCAATAGCAAACTACTGCTACAATAAACCTAAAAATAATGTTTTGAGAAATACGTGGAAAGTAGATGGTTGGCAGAAATTACAACAAGCATTTTAAACAAATGTTGAGAAGTTGAAAATACAAGACTAGAGGTATTGGCACATCAATACTTATATGAGTCATCTAATATCTAGGAAAAAATGTGTTTCTAAAAAATTTCAGTTTTACATTATACAGTAAATTTCACATTTAAATTGAATGAAATTGTTCAATGTATTATTTTTTTAAATAAGACAAAAAAAAAAGGAGATAATAATCTTCAATTGTCTATCAAAATCAATAAAAAACAAACATAGGACATACAGTTTAATCCAATAATGGATGTGGATTGTATTCAATTGAAAAACCAAAGAGAATCAAATGAGTATTAGACATAAAAACAGTATCTATTCAGAGGATCAACTGGAGAAAAATTACAAATATACATTATGATAAAAGCAAAGACTATTGGTCTGATAACATTCAAGTGATATCCATTAGTTAATTTATAACCAAGCATTAATTCCAATTTTTCAAAACATGTCCTTATATAAAAGCAGCAATACATTATAATTGCTGGCTATGCTTTGTCAAATTTCCAGATATCAATAAATCATTTGAAACCAACAAGGAACTGTATGCATTTTATACTATTTAAATGGTAACTACTGAAACTATTTTTGTTTCCTAGATTTTTTTTTGAGGCCAAGAACATTCTTTTTATATCAATACTTATATAATAATTACCATTGTGCATTTATATCTTTTGTGTCACACTATGTAATTAGATAGGAAAAATAATGTTTATAATTCCTTCAATAACATAAGGGATTTCTTTTAAATAAAATGGTATAACATGGCATAGCAATGATACTGTCTTTAAATTTTTATGCCTATTATATCATATCTGGAATAAAATATATTATAAGCCCTTTAATGATTGGTATATCATACATGACACAAGGTATGTCATCAGCCCTATAATGCTTATTCCATCATATACGAGTACATTAGAAAAGAAACTTTATCAGACTGTTACAAAACCAGCTTCATTTTTGATAGCACAGGTACATTATTTATATATACAGGTCTTCTGTGTCACGCTTTCAGTTATTAGACAGTGCAAAATTAACAATACTCATAATCATAGAATTTCTTTTAACCAGAAATATTTATCAATCTTAACTTGAAACTGAACTTTTCCAGCAGTCTTTATAAGCTATCTAATTTGAGATGGTCAATTTTATCTATGATCCATGGATTACTCTTGGCATTATATACACTGCTTGCTGGTCAATATCTTTTCATGTTAAAAAAATTTCATAGGTTTAATATAAGTGACTCAAAATGGAAACACCTTTTGAAAGAAAAAAAAATATCAGCAACATAATAAAACATATCTCTCCTACATATCTTGCAATATTAAAACTTTCTAAC